GTTGAGATACACTGTTTTACAGCCTTTCCACAGCTGTATATCAATAATAACAGCAACCACCACAGTAATAATAACCGATCCACCCGACAAGGAATGACGTATGGAATAAGTACAAATGGCCTAGCTTGTGTGTCTAAGGATGGAGACAGATCCAGAGAACAGCTGGACCCTGTACTTTTAAAAACACACCTTCAGCTGTGGCTTGCTTCCTTCTTCCTCCTAACAGACCTGGGTGAAACCAGGATCCACCTCAGCTGAAGGCGTGTAGCCTGTTCTACACAGGCACCGTGCCCAAAAAGTCCCAACCAATTTGGGAACCGACAAAGTGACGTTCTGTAAATTATGTTCTATATCTTAATCAAGAATGAAGATATTTCCTCCTAAAAGTTGAGGTTACTGGTGGCCAGGGCGACCCCCCAGGATGTGGCCAAAAAAGTCAAGATGGGGGTCGTGACAGTGCATCACACATAAAAAGCAAGCAGAGTGAGATTGCACTGGGGCGGCTGCCATCTTGACTTTTTTGACCATACCTTGCAGTCACCCCTGCTGATGGCCAAGGGCAGGGGTAACAGAGCTGGTCGGCAACTATCAGACAACTCCCAGAGGTCAGCCAAGAGGCAAAAACTCCAAAGCCTTGGTGCCATCTAGACCCGATTCCGGGAGCCCTTGCCAAGGGAAGAAAATCACACTTCCCCAAATCTGCTTGCAGCAGCAGAAACCAAATGTGCTTCTCTCCCAGCCCGCTGGCAAATAGAAATACAGCAGGTCCCATTATCCCCACCCAACGCGGTCGTTGCTTCGGGACAACGGAAGCTGGAGTTCCAAACAACCGGCCGTGCCATGCTGGAGGACTCTGGCCTGACCCACTTTCTAGAGCTCTCCTTGTTGCTGGCAGACTGAGAAGCAGGGCAGGGGGAGGTGAAGGGACTCCTGGGGGAGGGGTGAAAGTCCAGCCCTCCCTGCCCTTTCTCCGCCCCCAGGCAAGCACAGACCTTTTTTGCTTAATGATCAAATTGGAGACAAAGTCTTTGGCTTCGTCAGAGATGCCCTCAAAGGCTTCCTCATCGAAGTACCAGTCGGCCACCAGGACGTTGTTGAGGGTTTCGGTGTCGTTGTCCCCCAGGAAAGGGGAAAGGCCGCTCAGCCTGAAAGGGGAGGCGGGGGGAGAAGGTGAGAGACAAAGCCTCCTGCAGAGGGGGACCTCTGGCCAGGGCAGAGTCAAGCTCCACAGGGCCGGGTCTGTGCTGCCAGGAGCCTTTGACAGGGCGGCCTTGTGCGTCTGGAACGGATGCCAACCTTGGCCCAACCCACTGCTACAGGCTGGCATTGGGCCAGAACTCAAATGCCAGGGTGGTCTAGCGGGGAAGGTGATGGACTCCGAGCGGGGAGACCCAGGTTCTCATCCCCTCCCACGGGGGGGACCCAGGCGAGCCCAACATCCTAACACCCCTCCCCCCAAGTCCAAGTTAACTTAGCCCAGCTTTAGAGACGGCGCAATGGGGAAGCACGCTGTGAACCCGTAGTGTGAGGGTCCCTCTGCCCCCAGGCTCTCCTGCACCCCCACTCACAGCATATACGTGATCACCCCCATGCTCCACATGTCACTGCTGTAGGACACCGGCTCGTAGCTGACCACCTCTGGCGGCAGGAATTCCGGGGTGCCAAAGTTGACTTTTAGTTTCTCTCGGGGGTTGTATCTGGAAAGGGGAGGAAAAGCGGCATTTGTTCTGGCGCTTTTGAAATATGCCTCTCAGGCCTCTCCCTTCCCCCCCCCCCACCAGAAAAAGTGCACCAAACTGGAACTCCCTTTAGCCCCGATGGTATTCCAGTGTGGCCTTGCGAGGTATCCATTCAATTCAATGGGAGCAGGGAGAGAACCCTATTTATCTAGTAACTAACTTAGCGAATTTCAGTACAAAAGTCAAAACTTCATTACCCTTCTCCAAATGTCATAACCCTGTTCCCTGGTCAAACAATTCAATATTAGGGGAAAATCTGTCCCCAAATGCATAATGAGACAAAAATATATGAAGTTTTGGGGGAACTCTGCAACACCCAGGCCCATCAAGCAAAACACTTGCTGGGCAAAGAGAAAAATTAGAAAAATTAGTTAGAAAAATGTGCACAGAATGGACACAAATGCTGGCGCGTTTTAAGTTTCTGCGTCAGGAATCGAACACATGCGAGTTACAGAGGCTCCGTGAGAGACGGAGAGATGGGCAGGTCGGTCTTGTTCTGGCTTCGAAGCCCAGAGGGAGGAGGCACTGGTCAGAGGGGGTTCTGGCCACCTCGATCACAGCATTACCTTCGGGCAAATCCGAAATCAATGATCTTGACCATGTGGCCAGTGGCCGTCACGCACAGGATGTTCTCGGGCTGCGGAGAGAGAAGGAAGGGGGGCGTCCACATAACGTGCCCTGGAAAGGTCTTTGGGGGCCAGAAGAGCAGCGGAAACCGTTCAGGGGAAGGAAAACTCTTGTCCAATAAGCACCCCTTGAAGACCGTCGGCATTGGGAAAACCGCCACCGGTCCGTTGCAAAAGGCAGCTTTGCTTGGAACAGCTTCCATCCTGCGACGATGCCTTTCACACCATCAGACAGTAACATCTGCCCATCTCTGGTCCTTGGGAAGGACTCGAGAGGTGGACAAAAATGCCAAACCCAGTCCAAACATCTGGCTGACTCTGCGACCAACCGTAATGATAATAATAATATGATGACGATGATGATTCACAGTCAATGGGGGCATGTAAAGATAAGAAGTAAGGCCAGGATTTCTCCCCTCTCCATTTTAAACTGAGTTAAACCTATTTTTGGCTTGCGGTACAGCAGGGCGGCACTCACTGAGCCTTGTCTTATCTAGACAGGGTCAAACGAATTAATAGTGGGATGAGACACCACCAGGAAATCTCGACCAGCCAACATTCAAACCTGAAGGAAGATACGGCAAAGCCCTTTTATACTAAAAATGGGGACTCCAAAAGCTGCACGGCCCTGACCCGAACTGGAGGCAGCCTTGATCGTTTTACGGGTCTCTCTGATACCTTAATATACGCTTCCCGTAAAGTCTCGCAAAGCAGGTGAGCAATAATGAAACAGCGATAGGAAAATAATTGATATAAACTGTGTACATTGAAGGGGAGAAGAAAGAGAATAAAATGTGTATTTTTAAAAAGCAGCGTCTCCCATTCACACGGGGAAGGCCTGGGGGAAATTTGGGTCTTCATTTCCTTCCTCTAGAGCAGTGTTGTCCAAACTTGGCCACTTTAAGATGAGTGGACTTCAGCTCCCAGAATTCCCCAGCCAGCCATGGGGAAGGAGAGTGAATTTTACGGAAGGAGGGTCTATTCGTGCTTGTTAGCGGGTGCTCCGTAGAACCTCCATG